CCTCCCTCCCTCCTTGTTCTTTCCCCAAATCTTCACTTTTCACCCTCTGGTCATCCTTAATGTTTTTGCAGTAAATCAGTGAAGGTTTTTGATTTTCCTGTGGTCACTGCCAGTTAAATAAATCTGAAGGCCCCAAATCACATAAGAGAACATCTTAGAAAAGGGATTGAAGTGGGGAAAAGACAGTGATTCCTCACATCTCATTTTCCCATGTTACCCTAGTGAGGTTGAAATAAAAATACCAACTTCACAGGAAGGCTGCAGGGATTAGCCTTGTGCTATGACTTAGATGTCTCCAAAAGACATGTCGAAATTTAATCTCTACTGTTAGTGGTAAGAGGTGGGACCTCTAAGATGTGCTGGGGTCACAGGGCCATGGCCCTCAGGAGTGGGATAATGCCATCAGTGTGGAAGAGGTTTCACTATACACTTGGCCCCTTCTTGCCCCTCTTCCTCTCCCGTGTTCTGGCTTGCCCCTTTGGCCACGTCGTGATGCAGCCAGAAGGCCTTCACTGGGTGCAACCCCTGGATCTCAGACTTGTCGGCCTCCAGAAACATAAGACACACAAATTTCTACTGCTAATAATTTGTCCATCTGCTATATTCTGTTACTGCAGCTGAAAACAAACTAAGCCAACTAGCAAGTACATCGCAGGCACTCAGAACATGTTCATTTTCCTCTTTTCACTCTCTTTGATATTTGAAAGCATGCAATGCCTGTTTCGAATCATACACATTCATCCCAGAATGCGTAGAAAATGTAGTGAAGTGGAAGGAAAGAGTAACAGCCACCCAGAAGGGCATGGCCCACGGCTAGTGACTTGTTAGCCTTCTGGGGGCATTTCCCTTCTGCATTTCTCTTTCTCTGTTTTGACAGTTTTACTAAGATAGCATTTCAGTGTCATGAAGTTCACCCTTCAAAAGTGTGCAGTGTACTGACTTAATGCACGCACAGTTTTGTGAGCACCACTTCTAGTGGGCTCTAGAACACGTCATCATCCCCAAAAGGAAACCTTGTGCAGTCCCATTTGCCCTTCCTCTACACTCCCCCCAGGACCATTTACCTGCCTCCCCCACCTATGTCATTTGCTAATTCTGATTGTTTTATGAAAAGAGCCATATGCTGTGTAGCCTCCTGTGCTGGGCTTCACTTAGCCCAATTCCAAGGCTCACTCATGCCATAGGATGCACCAGTACTTCGGGTTTTTTCATGATCAAACAATATTGTGTTATATGAATATATCGTATTTCATTTACCTATCATTCGATAGATGAGGATTTGGGTTGCTTTTATAAGTCATCCTGCTATGAGCGCTTGTGCACAGGTTTTTATGTGAGCCTCCGTTTTCGTTTCTAGTAGGTAGTAAGTACCTAGGACTGAAACTGCAAGCTTATACGGCAATTCTGTGTATAACATTCTGAGGCATAGCCACTTTGCATTTCTTCTTTCACAGTTACGGTGATACTGTTGTAGGCAGCTAAATTAGATAAAAAATATTATGGCCAGTCAGATAGGGCCAGGCCCTCAAGGAGACAATATGGGATACAAGGTGACTTTGCAACTTTCAAAGAGACAGACACTCCCTGCTGTGGGCCAGACCTCAAGACAAAAGAGTAAACAAATGTAGCCACAGGCCTCCCTAGGAATGGCGTCAGTGATTAGTATTCTAAATATGAAAGAGCCCAAATTAGTCACTAACCCAACCCCCAAAAGGAAGAGACCCTGTTCCCTATTCATGCCCATGCCCACTTGCTACTCGACTTGCTTCCCCATTTGATTCCGATTTAATCAACTTTACCTCCACAGTGGTGCTTGTAATCTCATTGGTTGACCATAGTTTTGTCCCACCTCATGTCAACCTAAGCAAGTTCTCAGGGTTTTCACCTTAGACCTGCCTGGTTTTACACTATAAAAATTGCTGGAAGAGATAGCTTCCTGGGGACCATCCTCTGGGGCCCCCCTCCTGTCCCTTTCTAGGACAGGACCTGTCTTTCTCCCAATAAATACATTCTGCTCATAACCTCTGTTTGTTCCTAGAATTCATTCTTCCATTTTAGAGAACACAAACTCTTCCCAGGTACCTTTCAGGGCGGGAGTTTCATTTTCTTCCCCTCTATCATTTGGAGGTCCCTGAATCAATACTATAATACAATCCACTACTCAATTTCTGAGACTTTCTTAATTGCTTTCCTCTTCCCCCCTCCCCCAGGGACTGAACCAGGGGCTTCTGCACTGAGCTACACTTTACAGCTTTTTTTTTTTTAAATCTTGAGATAAGATCTCACTAAATTGCTAAATTGACCAGATTAGGCTCAAATTTGTGATCCTCCTTGCCTTAGTCTCCCACAGTGCTGGAATTACAGGTATGTGCCACCATGCCCAGCTTCCATAGTTTCTTAGTAAAAATTGTTTCTTTCAATCATCCTTTCAAAAATATATTAAATTCAATAAGGCACTGATTAAGCCTTGGGCACTGCAATGATAATAAAAGGGGCTGCTGCTGTCAGGAAATCCACAGTCCAAGGAAGGCAACAGACACATCAAATTAGATTTCATTTGATCTGAGTAGTGGAGTGGTAAGCAAAGTGCTGAGAGCACACAAGAAAGAAAATAAAATTCTAAACCTCCTCCTTTGGGGTGGTAGAGAACGCTTCCTGGGAAAGGTGACATTTGCAGAGTTCCAAAAGGTGAGTGTGAGCTCAGCAGGGGCACCGGGAGGGGGAGCACGCCAGGCTGAGACCACAAAGTGCACGTTGCACTTTGATCTAAACCGCCCCCCCCCTTCTGATGCCTCGCACAGCACCAAACTCATCAGGGGCTTCACTCATTGATGAGTCCACGGCTGAATGTGCTGCTAGGGGATGGGGTGCCGCTGAAGGCAGCTCACGGCGGGGTGGGGGGCCTGGAAGGGTGTATTCTCACCCTCTCTCCTCTCTTCTCTCAGCTTCAGCTGTCACAGGACGTGAGCTGCTTTTCTCCCCTAGGCCACTCCCAAGCGCTTTCGGCCTTGGGGTCCGCTGACTGTGGGTTAAATCGTCAAGAATATGTGTGCCAAAATGACGCTCTCCTTGAAGTTGTTAGAGTCAGGGGTTTGGGTCCAGCGAAAGTGGCTAAGGTAGTACAGAAACACAGAGGATAAGAGAATTCACCCAAGCCATGGAGATGGCTCAGTAGAATAAGCGCTTTCCTGGCAAGCGCAAGGGCCTGAGTTCAGTCTCTGGTTCCTCAGGAAAGAAAGAAAGAAAGAAAGAAAGAAAGAAAGAAAGAAAG